CTGCACATACAACAATATAAACATTGACAAGTGTCATTTCATACCGTTTTTGAAAACCATAACTGTCAAAATTAATTGAAATTACTGAAATTTTGATATGCCGAATATGAACTTGGATTTTTAATATAGCCTATAACCTAAGTTGCATTTAAATGCATACAATGAGCTAAAAAAATCAAAATCCGTTCAGTAGTTTAGGAGTACATCGCGGTCAAACATCGTAACTCGTGACATAAACTTACAGTAAATTAATTTTAATCAAATTTCTTGCACATATAACCATCTTCCAATTGTCATATTATTTAAATGAGTTATTTATCAATTTTCGACCTTAAATTGTGATTTGTAACATATCTGAGACCTTCTAGTAAATTACAAATCAATTTATTACGGTTTCACATACTTTTTAAAATTCGTAACTGTCAAAATTAATTGAAATATCTAAAATTTTAATATTTCGAAATTGAACTTAGATTTTTAATATAGCCTATAACCTAAGTTGCATGTAAATGCATACAATGAGCCAAAAAAAATAAAATCGGTTCAGTAGTTTAGGAGTACATTGCGGACAAACATCGTGACACGTGACAATCTTACACTGAATGCTTTAAACAAATTTCTTGTAATGTAAATCACAAATCAAATTGTTTCAAAGTTTTCAAAAACATTTCATGTCATTTCACAGTACTTTCTTAAAATTCATGTGTCAAAATTAATAGAAATTTGTAAAATTTTAATATTTGCAGTATGAACTTGGATTTTTATTATAACCTATAACCTAAGTTGCATCTAAATGCATACAATGAGCCAAAAAAAATCAAAATCGGTTCAAAAGTTTATAAGCCTATCGTGATCAAACATCGTAACAAGTTTGTGTTACAAACAGTAACAAATTCGTAATTCTAATATTTCCAGTATGCACTGAGATTTTTAATACAGCCTATAACCTAAGTTTGACTTGAACACACACTTTGAGCCAAAAAAATTCAAAATCGGTCCAGTACTTTAGGCGCCTATTCCGGACGTTACTACAAACATAACAAAAATCTATCATTAATGAGTCATTTATCTTATGACTTACCACCATGCCGCACGTAAGCGTGATGCCCCTTCCGCAGTACGTGTTGGGCACAATGTCGCCATATCCGACGCAAAGGAAAGTGATGGCCGTTAGCCACATCGAATTCAACAAATTTGCATGCTCTTCATCATGGAATCTTTGAAGATTTGACGATTTTCGGTATTCGATCGAATGGACAAAGGCGATAAAAAAAAAGAGAAAAAAATGCGTTAGTGTCTTTGCGATTGCAGAATCTATTCGACGAGATACGGTGGAGATGTCTCCACCGTACTAAACGGACGAGTTTGACGTAGTAAAAGATGCAGTTAATAAAAGTTTTAGTTGGTAAATGTTTGGTTAATGGATATAACGATAATTTGTTTTGTGAGTTATGCACGAAGTTTGATGGTAGACAGAGAGCTGGCGATGGTGATTTTGTAAATAAAATGAATGTAGATGTGATGTAAATATACGTAAGTTAGCTCCCAGGGGCTCAAAAGCTTCCAAATTGATAAAACAAAGTTCTCTGAAAGTTTCAGCTTCAAATATTAACTTTAGGATAGTCCGCAATTAAACAAAAATTTCTTGGTTCTTCGATCTAAGTGAATACTTACTTAATAAAATATATTAAATTCCTATTGTAAACTTTTTATTTGTGATCAAAATAAGCAAAAACAACGTTATTCTCAAAATTTTGATTCACTCGTCGCTAAGTTATCGAAATTCTAAATAAAAATTGAATTTTACCCATGTTATTTCTATAAGAAACTTTGATTGAATTGCGGACTATCTAAAAGTTAATATAAAGAGCTAAAACTTTCAGAGAATTTTTTTTCATCATTTTGAAAGCATTTGAGCCCCTGGAAGCAAAAAAATCCATATTAAGGACCACCCTAAATATAATATACAAATGAATATAATCAACATATATAATAAATGAAAAATTAATGAATAAATAAAAAATAATACATTTTTTTATATAATAATAATACAGTATTGAAAATATAAAGCATAAAATTATGATGATAGAAAAAATTATAAAATTAATCCTTTCTACTCGAATGCCGTCGCTCCGGCGACAAAATAAATACTAAATTCCGGAATAAGCGAGTGTAAAGGGTTAATATTATTTAATTCATGATTTATGAATAAGAAAGAACTAGAATTCAAAACTTATTAAAATATAAATTATAATTTAATTTAATATTTCAGTATTATTATAATACTGAAATATTAGATTATAAAATTATAACTAATAAAAATTAAAAATACAATAAGTATAAAAAACTTTTAAAATGCTAATAAATCGAATTAAAAATAATTAATTATTATCTTGTTATTAGATATTAATATCTAATAAATATTAAATAAAGTTATCAAATTAAAAAATCGATCTTTTTTTAAAAAAATAAAAATATTAAAATGTAAAATAAGTAATAAATTAGATATGGAAATGATTTTAAAATTTAAAATGAGTATTATTAAAAAAAAAAATTAAGATATTAAATTGCAAAAAATCGTAATTTAACAATTTAACTTGAATATTTAATAAATATTAAATAAAGTTATAAAATTAAAAAATCAATATTTAAAAAAAATAAAATTAAAATTAAATGTAAAATAAAATAAACTAGATATGAAAGTTTAAAATGTAAATATAAATTATTTTGATACAAAACTATTATTAATAAAATTAAATTGCGGCTAATGATATTAAAATTTAAAATAAGTATTATTAAAATAGAAAAAAAATAAGATTTAAAAAATTAAAGATATTTAATAATTTAAATTTAAAAAATTAAGATATTTAATAAATATTAAAATATAAAATTAAAATTAAAATATAAAAGTTATATAAATAAATATTTAATATCTTTTTTACAAAAAAATATAAAAATGTATAAAATAAGTAATAAATTAGATGTGGAAATTTTAAATTTCAAGATATAAATATATTGATACAAAACTATTAATAATAAATTAAATTGCTAATGATATTAAAATTTTTAATTAAAATTTAAAATAAGCATTATTAAATAAAAAAAATAAGATTTTACAATAACAAAAAAGTATTTTAACAATTTAACTTGCATATTTAATAATATTAAAATAAAGTTTGAAATTAAAAAATCAATATTTAAAAAAAATTAAATGTAAAATACAAAAATTAATTACATATGGAAATTTTAAATGTTAAAATATAAATTATATTGATACAAAACTATCAACAATAAAATTAAATAACATCTAATGATATTAAAATTTAAAATAAGTATTAATAAAATTCGAGATATTAAAATAACAAAAAATTCAATTAAAGAATTTGAAATTTAAAAACATAATAAAAAATAGAAAAATAAAAATTATTAAGTAAGACAATGATAAAAAATAAATAATATAATTAGATATTGAATATAAAAATTAAAATACTAAAATAGTACATAGTCAAAACCTTTAGAATGTTAGAATTATAAAATATTGTAATTAAAAAAATATTCATAATATTAGAAATCTAATTAGAAAAATTAAAAGTTAAATTTGATTATAAAAATAAAAAAGTAATTATAACTAAAAAAACAATAAATGAATAAATATTAGTAATTTTTGCAAAATGTAAAAAAATTAAAACTAAATCGTTAAGAACATGAAATAGTAACTGTTAAAGTTAATAGAAATATTAAATACGTAAAATAATAATCTTATCAAATAATAATAATAATGATCAAATTATTATTAAATAAAATAAAAAATTAGATTAAATGTCCTAATTTGTTCATAAATAAAATGAAAATAATTAAA